CCTCATTACTTAACCGATTACTTTAAGTTCTTCAAACATGATGAGTTAACATGATGAGTTTTAAAATACATACCATTTGAACGCGATACACTTTGATCACCATCTCCACATTTTCTTTTTTTAATGATGGTTTTATGATCATACGGATTCAAAGTTTGATCATATCTATCTAAATAATATACTAATTTTATTTCCAGATGTTTTGTATTTCCGTGGATTGATTGTACCAAGTAATCAGCTTCATCTTTCAAGTCTTTATAAACAGCTTGAACTTGCATTGGATCTAAGGGATCATATGAAAGTATTGGGTCGATCTCGTCTAAACCATTTGCTACGTCTGCAATATCTGTTTCTAGCCATCGATTATTGTTGCAGAATGGAAAGTTCATGATTATATATAGTGGAGTTTATGGTGGAGATTATATATAGTGGAGATTATATATGGTGAAGATTATATGGTGAAGATTATATATGGTGGAGACCTTGAAAGAATGAATGTTGCGAATGTTGCGAATGCTCCAGAAAAAGATTTAATAGTATTTGGGTTTCAAATTCAATGTTCACATCAAATTAAAAGGGCCCAAGTATAAATTTAGACGTTAATCATGATTCCAATTAAGGAATCATTCTGGCATTCGATAGTGATGCAGGGGAATTATTTACACGATTCCCCAATCGTGGAATGATACAATGATGTGGAAATGATCGTTAATAGTTTTAGAAAATTCAGTGTGGAAATAATTCCCCTGCATCACTAGTATTCGATTTATAAGTTAATATTTGAATTATTTATAAATTTAGACGTTAATCATGATTCCAATTGAGGAATCATGCAGTTTGTTATGTCATCGATTTATAGGTCAATATTTGGTTTGTTTATAAATTTAGACGTTAATCATGATTCCAATTAAAGAATCAAGCTATATATATAGTATTATTACTGTAATAATGTACGTGCATACTAGTGATGCGGTAGAATCGTCCCAATGAAGTCCCAATGAATTTTTGAAATACGGCAAATTGAGTTACGGCTTATTTGTAGCTTAATAAAAAGTCACACCATGTTGTAACTTTTCATATCAAAAAATCCACTGGGACGACTCTACCGCATCACTAATAATGAAAGGCGTATGCACTGGAAAAAATGGTGTGCCGACGATTGGGATAATACAAGTAAGTGCGAAAACAATAACGATAGCGATAGGGCAATAAATGGTACTTTCAGGCAATAAACAATCTTAGCTTTAATTCACATACTACTGTACTATTATGTACGTGTCCAAATTCTCTGGAAATTCTAACCAGCTATAACTTCATGAACACGGCATATAGTTATCAGGCTGCCCCTACGGCGAACTGCAATTTTCTCTCTTCTAGTTGAAAAAAAGTGTATGAGATAAAAGATTTAATTTTTATCAGAATTAGATAAATTAGATAATTGTAAATCCGTGAAATATACGGGAATACACTATTAATTTAAACCCAAAACCTATTTTTAAATTAAACTAGAAGAAAGTTCAAATCGGAGGTTTAAATTGGACCCGAAATGGTTCAAGGGTGTTCTTAAGCACCCACCTCAATGAATTCAATAAAAAATCTAATTGGTTAGTTTAATTAAACTGACCAATCAGATTCGTTATTGAGTCCATTGAGGTAGGTGCGTGAGAACATCCCAAGTTAGGATAGTTGGAAATGTTATATATGATTTAGCTTGCTTTATCACACTTTTTAATGGTAGACAAGTAATACAAAGACGGCAATATTAATACTATAAATAGGGATTTGCTATTGCCGCCCCTATTTTTGCTAATGCCACCCTATCCGGGCTTCCGACCCGGTTCCGCGACAACGTTACACAAATAGAGGTCACATGACATATCCGATTTTGCAGTTTCGCCAGCCAAACGCGAAATCTACGGACAGACAGTGCAGTAACGTGATGTAAGAAGAAGTTTTCAAACCTTTAAATCGAAATATCTCGGTATCCACCTGACCAAATTCGATGGAAATTTTTTTGAATGAATTCAAATAAAAAAAATTCATCGAATTTGGTCAGGTGGCTATGGAGATATCTTTGCTCAAAGTTAGTCAAAATAGAAGTTGTGCCAATTTTTTTAAAAACTTTGAGCGAATATATCTCCACACCCACCAGACCAAATTCGAAAAAAAAATTTTATTTGAATTCTATCGACTCATAAAATTTAAATAAAAATTTTTTTATCAGATTTAGTCAGGTGGTTGTGGAGATATCTTTGCTCAAAGCTAGGGAAAAAATCAAAACGTCTATCAAAATAGAAGTTACCGGTACATCAATTGTTTTAAAAACTTCGAGCTAAGATATCTCCACAACTACCTAACCAAATTTAATAAAGTTTTTTTGATTCGAATTTTATGGATTTATAAAATCAAATAAAAAAAAGAGAAAAATCAAAACGCCTATCAAAATAGAAGCTACGTAAAAATTTGAGCGAAGATACCTCCACAGCTACCTAAAATTTATTTTTTATGTGTTCAAAGAATTAAAATAAAAAATTTTATCGAATTTGTCTGCGTAGTTGTGGAGATAATTTCACTTAAATTTTTAACTTTTTATTGATAGACGTTTTGATTCTTCCTTAAATTTGAGCAAGAATATCTCCGCAACCACCTAACCAAACCAGATAAATTTTTTTCATTTTAATTCTAAGAGACCATAGAATTCAAATAAAAAAATTATCGAATTTGGTCCGGTGGTTGTGGAGATATCTTCGCTCAAATTTTTAAAAAAATTGGCACAACTTCTATTTTGATAAGCGTTTTGATTTTCTCTAACTTTGAGCAAAGATATCTCCATAGCCACCGGACCGAATTCGATGAATTTTTTTTTATTTGAATTCAATGGATATATAGAATTCATTCAAAAAAATTTCCATCGAATTTGGTCAGGTGGATACCGAGATATTTCGATTTAAAGGTTTAAAAACTTCTTACATCACGTGACTGCACTGTCCCTAAGCAGCAAAACAATCATTTTGATACACCTGCACCTATACATGTTGGCAAAATCCCGACTTACTATAGTTTGGGATTTGTCCGCCATCC